AGACATTCTTTATTAAGCTGCTTCTCAGTCCTGGGAGTATGCACACATTCTTCTTACATAGTGACCTTCTCTAAAACCGTGTCTGCTGCTACTCTCGCGCTCAGTTTTAGTGTCATATATGAAATGCTGACTTTTGGTATATTTGCAAGTATGCATATTAGTTTGATCTTCCAGCATCACTTGTGAATGCTGGGTGCTGAACAGTACAGGCTCATACTGCAGTTCTGTAACAGCAGTTAGGGTCTAGCTGCAGCACTATTCTGGCATTTTCTAAAGGTAATAATGGCAGCTACATGATATTTCAGTACAGTATCCTGATGAATTACATATCTCCAAACTACAGATAAAATGAACCTTCTTATCTACCTTGCAAGTTCAAATAACAACACATACCATCAAGAAAGATGTCGCTGCCAAGTTCCTTATCGAGCCAGAATATAGATGCTATTGGGCCTGAAAGGAAAACAAGTAAGTCCAGTGCAAAATATGCATATCTACACTGTAAACTGTAAATACTGTAACGTGTATAGCTAGGCAAAGGCGCAATAAACACCTCCTTGCTTAAGGGTACTCAACAATAGTGCGAATGCTTATAGCTCATTGCCAGGCAACAGTCAGTGCGCCAATGGACTAGAGAGGTATCTATAACATGACTGGCTTTCTATGGGGTCTGTGTTGTGACCGTTGCTGTGCAAATGTTTGGTAAACACATTTAAAAAAATAGAGGCTGTGTTTTCTGCATGGTCAGTGTGGAGGCTATATAATGACAGTTACAGATATAACAGGTTTCAGTTTTTAAGTGACAGTGACAAAGTGGAGAGTCCAGAAGGGTTCACCAGTTAAGAGCACAAGGACAAGAATGGATGGGGTGATTTGAAGACTTTAATTATGTGTAATATTTGGAGTGCCTGACTCAGTGAGACCGTGTTTGTTTCTGTGTCGAGATCCATTGCCAGGAGACGACTAGTGCGTGTACAGCGGTGAACTGAAAAATGTGTAAATCAGCGATAGTGCTGTATTTCCTGTATCTGAGTGTGAGTAAGAGAGGTTGCAACCAAAGTGCTAATGAATCCAGTCATCCGAACCAGAACCTGTCATTCTCGTCATGTGTACCAGCATACACGTGACACTTTGGTGTCAGATCATATTGGGTTCTTCAGCAGTGGTTACAACAATAAATATGGGACAATTTTGTGTCACTAGTCACACAGCCATAAACTCCTGACAATATCACAACCATCATTTCAACAGGTGTTACAACAAATGCCTCTGTCCCCAATTTGTACCATCTTCCTGGCAGTAAAACAGAATGTCATGTCATGTTATCTTTTCCTCCATTCTCCATCATAATCCTTATAAGGACCACTGTCAGCACTCTATCCACATGCACTTCTGAATCAAAAGTAATAATTATGCAGCATAATTTGTTATTAAGGATATATTTATGATACTTTCAGCATCTCAGACTATACAGAGTGATTCAAAGTCTCATAGTCAGAGTTTAGAAGGTTGTTTGGGGCGACAATTTGGGGCAGAAAGTGAGTTACTAAGTTTTGCCACTTTTTAAGAACATGAAATAACTGCGAACGTGCATATAAATTTGGTTATTTACACTTAACACCTTCACTCATTACTTTTAAATACAATGAATGAGGTACAAAAATTCCAAAAGAGATTACATCTTTTCAGTTTGAATTTTATATCATATTTAACACAAATGTATAATCATTTAATCTGGAGTAGTTTTACATATTTTTCCTGAAGAACTGCTCAACATTACCACCTGTAGTTCACATGCACACTTCACAGCAATGCTAAATAGTGTCCCTCATACAAAACAATTGTTTAGGTTGGCCCTTAATGTCTGTCATAGCCACCAGAATGTGGCTCATCAGGATGCCACGATCTCAATGCTTCCATGGCATACCTGTTTCAGACGGCAGTGTGCTACTGCAAACACATGTCTGCTGGGCTGTCCCAGATCTGGGTATTGGCACTCCAGCTTTTGCACTTCCATTACAAAAGCAGTATACGAAACACATCTCGTTTTGCAGTTATCACTGCTTTGCTATCAGAGGCAATGTGGGCCATAAGAGAACAGAGTGAGATCTCTTTGACTGTATTTCCTACTCCAAATTACCTCCTTAACATCCTGAAGTTTGGCCACAGGACTCTGAATTATCCTGTATGACAGTGAATGGAACAAGGATAATGAATACTGAACTGGAAGGAAGCAGTCATAATGGAAATAGGGGTAGGTAAAGCTACCCCTGTAACAGGCTGTGGAGGCCCATAGGACTGTGAGATGTTGAGGCTCCCACATTCTCTAGACAATTGGCTCACAGATGGCGGTAAGGTTGTCAGCCTTATGCACCGGCCACCCTTTAACCCCAGAAAGATTTCTGATACTCATTTCTGTTAGAGGCTGAGTCAACCCCAGGGCCATAGTGAGGCTGGAAGGATTAGGTAAACTGAAAAAATCCACCTCATCAGGATTTGATCCCACGACCTTCCAGCTTGTAGCAGTGCCTCAACAAACTACGCCACCACATGGTAAATAGGGGTACTATCCCAGAATTCGCTTGGAGACAGAAAAACTAGGAAAGACTTCAGATTCAAGCAAGGCACATCCATAATATGGGTCTGAAGCATTACTGCTTGAGCCAATTTTCAAGTTGTACGTTACATAAGACAATATGTGGAGTGAATAGGGACATGTGTGTTCATTATTCCTAGTAGAGCACTGAGCACAGAACACAGCTAATAAATACAGAAAGCCTATAGTAAACAACACAACATACCAGGATCTGCTAAGCCGGTGGTCTCAAGTAGTATGTAGTCAAATTTTCCTCGTTTAGTCATCAGGTTTTCGATTGCCTTCACACCATTATCTCTGAAACAACCATTAAAAATTACATAAATCATATCACACATTGAATATGTGCATAAGCTAAAGTGAGATTTTTGCAGTGGTGATTCTGTGAAGATTACTGGTTTTTGGAATGTAATGTCATGTAGTCTGGTAGAGCCACCTGATTATATGCCATCATGTCCCAGAAGACAGCAATCTTTATAGCTGTGGAATTATTACAATACAGAACAGCATTTCACTGGGGATGAGCAAACTGTAAATATAACTAGAGTTAAATTCATAAGTTAAACAAATCCTCTGTAATCAATTATCATTCTCACATATGCATAGTAAGCTCAATAATTTATGTGGAAGGAAGTTTATAATTTCTACCAGAAAGTCTGCCACCACTACAGGAGTTCTGCCATATGCATACAGGTGGGTGTCGAGTATGTGTGTACAGGGCTTGAGATGAATGGTGGCCTGCTCACTTGCTAATTCCATGGGCTAGCATGCAAAAATTCCCAACAGTCACACATATTACGTTAACATGCAAGAAGCACCATTCTTCTGTAGTCTGTCTGTACAAAACAAAACATACATACTCATAATATTGAAAACATCATTATCATCATTCTTCACAGTACTGCACCTACAGACGCTTGTTACAGATTATAAAACCGAATCCTTTGTCTGTTTCAAAGGTTTTCTCAAACGTCATTTTCTTGGTTAATATTTTAAAACGTTTTTAAAATCCTATCAGGAAGTGTCACATAATTTATTTATGGGATGCAAGGCATGTTTGCAAGCAAAAGGGGTGACTTCCAACACCTGTTAAAAAAGCACGGTAAGTCTGTGTTATCTTCTTACAGTATTCCTATAGTGTGCATATACAGAAACTGATGCGAGGGAATCAGTGACAGGACTGCACTCTCACTAGCGGGGAAGGGCACTGTAGTCACGGAGAATCGATCCATCCACTCTCAGTTAGCGAGAGTGCGTGCGTTTATCTGCGCTGATGACTCATTCCACTATCAGCCGTTACAGCAGCAGTCTGTGAGAAATGTTGTATCCGACCCATACCACTTCCCTGGTTTCCTCAATAGTTGAAAGCACTGTATACATATATGTGTTGGCTGCCAGTTTGGCTCTTATCTTATGGGGTGACAGCTATGGTTCTGGGTTACAGGCTCATGGTAAAGGAGGCAGGTGATTTAACCATCTGTGAAACACACTGTACAAGCAGATGAGAGATACTTATCTTTAATATTTATTTTTATAACCATCCAAGAATACTAATACAATGGCAAACTGAATATGAATCAAGAAGTTCTGGGAAGAACTAACTGCCTACTTTCCTTTGATGCGACAGGGACTGCACAGAAAATGAAGCCTCCAACAATTCTTCATTTCCATGGGAATGTCTTTACCAAGATGTTATCTAGCAATGATAGGGGGTACACAGACACTTGTGTCCAACAATTCTTCTGTTGTTGTGTGTACTCAGTGATACAGGAATGTCTTTACTGAGCCATTGCCTAGCAATGAAAGGAGGGATACACATACAGACCCACAGACGGATGGGACAGTCTTCTGAAGTAAACAGTTGAGATGGGCTCAAGTGCCTATATATGCATACAAAGTTTCATAAAGATTAGTTCAGGCATTCAAAAGTTAATGGGGAAAGATTCACAGACAGCAAAGAGAGCAGAAAGATCTCATACAGCTAGTTTGATTTTTTCAAAATAAGGAATGTAGGCTAAAAATTTTAAAATATGTTGAAGAGAGCAGTCTTCTGGGATGTGGCACCATGTAGATCTTGTGTTTACAGATGTTTCGGAGGAACATTTCGCCTTCATCTTCAGGATAGAAGAAAAAAGAAGAAAATCTGCGCATGAGAAACCAGCGTGAGCAGGTGCTAACGTATATTGTCTACAAACAGGGAGGGGCAAGACACATCAACATTTTGACCAGTGGATTAACAGAGAAACTCATAGGTCAGACACTCACACCCTGATATCATAACCAAAGCTGTTGCCTAGCAATGAAAGTGGGGTTACACAAACAAACATAGACTAAAGGGAGGGATTTATAAAGTATGCTATTGAGATGGGCTCAGAAGCCAGGATATAAACACCAGGTTCCGTGCAGACTGGTTCAGGTATTCAAATATTAACAGGGGGGATTCACAAACACAGAGATACACAGATGGCATGGAGACTGCACAAGCTTACTTTCACTTTTTCAAAATAAGGAAATTAGGCCAAAAGGACAGGTTATCCTGCTTGTTACTCACATTATAAGTTCACTGTAAGTTAGATGTCACGCTCTTTATTATTTATCACGGCTCATCTCGTTACAGGTACAGAATTTTGAACAAAGTACAGTGGAAGCTTCTGTCCTGTGTAGTAATTGTGTGTAACTGTTTCTAACTCATATAATATGTGAGATTACTACAGCTGTGAAGTAAAACTGTACCTGGACACCTCGCCATGATCATATACATGGGAGCTCCATGCATTTTTACATTTCAAACTACATGGAGGCCAGTCATCTTTATGTCCACACTGCTTTACACCTGAGGAAAGAGGTCTTGCCATTCACTGAGAAGGTCTTGACACAATTATGAAGAATAAAATCTGTAGCCCCATGAGGAACTGAACCTCAATTCTCCAGTCATGTGGCTCATACCCTAGTCACTATTCTGACTGAGCTACATCACTTTTCCAAATCCATTAACAAGCCGTTGTTATACTAGTAGAATATATACTGTCTGTACTGAAATGTGATAATACATAGTGCTCGAAGTGATGTAAACAAATTTTAGAGCATCATTTGTTGGAATAAAGTTAAATACAATAATCTTTACATGGTATGTTTTACTTCCTACTTCTGCAGTTAATGCTTTAATAACATGTAATAGCAATAACTTGTACAGCTGGAAAGAATGACATTCCTTTATTGAGAGCCGTCACAACACAATAATATATGTTTGTAGTTTCAAGTAGTACTTTACTTGAAACTACAAACATATATTATTCACTGTTGTGTTGTGATGGCTTTCAATAAAGAAATATATAATACACAACAGCAGGCATTCACTGAAAAAAAGAAAAGAAAAGAATGAAATTCAGTAACTGAAACAGTGATCGGTAAAGAATACTGATCACTGTTTCAGTAATATAAAGAATATATTACTATAGCATGACATACTTAACAGAACAGCATAAGCAGCCATTTCTTAACTCGAGCCATTCTTCATACAACTCGCCAGCTTGTCCAACAGCCACACTCCTCTCCAAGGCACTTCCTAAAAAGACAACATGTAATGACACAGTTACAGAACAAGCTGGGAATAAGTGCCGCAATACGTTTCATGAGCAAGGTCTTGACAGTGAATAAAACAAGTAATGGGATGATGACTAGTATATATCTGCAAATCAGGATAAACATTCTGAGATTTTTATTAATTACTGGATTCTTTTCTATGGGATTTAACACAAAGTAGTGTGATAGGGTCTATGAGATTTCTTTAGGTATCACGCTCCTATTAGTGAGAAATACTCAAGACACTCACAACAATGTTCATTATAAACAAAGAAAAAAGAAACAAAATTTTGTAGTGTCAAAACTAGTTCTTAATGTTGTTTATAACACCAGAAACACCCACCTCAAAAACTATGTATATCTTCACAAAAAAATTACGTAATAGCTAGAGTGGGACACTGGTAATATGCCGTTTTTTTTATTTTCTTTTACGAGTGTCTTCCTAAACATATTAATGAAAACTGATGCTTTGGCATAAAGTAACATAGAACTTCTGTTGTTTACACAATTCTGTTACTCACACTGCCGACTAATAAGTCATAAAGGGCCGCATGCGCAACACAAAACATTGCAAGAATTTTAGCGGTAAAAAATACGGTACCTACCACTATCTCACTTGAAGGTTCAGGTATGTGTTATACAACCCAAAGATTATATAAATTGGCACAAACCTTCTCCAAATTCATTAAGTATAACAGCAATCCTTTTCTCGTGTTGTTCGGTAAGAATGTAGTTCAGTAAAGTTGTCTTTCCAGCACCAAGATAACCTGTAATTATAGTCACGGGGACAGGTCTAAAAACTGCCGGTACCAACTCGGGGGCTTCGTCATCCGAAGATTCCATTATCCTATATCTTTTTATGATTCACAAAGGTATAGTTCATAAATGTCAAAGGCATTAAATTTACGATAACTACCAACTAACCATCACTTGTTTACAACCTGGTTCCATGCTTACTTGATTACAATTTGCCTGTTCATTTCTAGGAAAATGCAAGGATCGATAGGTGTTAATCAACCCAACCATGTTTATTCTGTATATGGTGGGAATATGCACCTCCAAAATGTATATGCACAGCTACGAGGCCACACGATGCCCATAATATTAACACTTCCAAGATCTTCAAGATCTTCAAGATTGATGTGGCCGTAATAAGAGGTTACAAAGTTACCAACTGCGCTCGCGACATCTGCCGTACATAGTTCGGTACTATTTGGCGAACCTAACGTAATTGTTCATAGATGACACGAAGGAAGGATGGATATGACGTCAAATTTTTCTGCTCAGTTCTTGTTCCGGCGGTTTCAAATCCCGCCCCTCTCTGCCAAACGCTTCCCAGTTGATCACGTGTTCTGATATGTACGGTTCTTAAAGGTTGGATGGTTTGGTTTGGGCCGTTTGGACGGTTTGGTTTGGACGTCCCTCTGTCTGCGGCAAATATTTGGTCGTTTTGGTCGAGGTAAGTTGTTACGTTTGTGACAAATTGAGATGTATTAGGGTTGGAGGCCTCCTCTTCTACATTAACGTGTCTGCCATTTCCTATGATGTTTCTATTAGTTTCATTACGCAATGAAACTTAATTTGTGGTATCTCATATATACCTACTGTTTACATCGAAAACCAAATTGGGAAGATATTGTAAATTCGTTTTATCTTATAGCCATTTTGGTTTCTAGAATAAGCGGACTGATGTTCAGTTATGTGAACATGTGCGGCCAGAGAATTTGCTTACAGAGTTGAAGCCATTTAAGAATATCATTACAGGATCACTCTTTTTCGGTCATAATGTTCGATATATTTCCTTTTCTTCTTCCAAGCTCGGGTTTGTCACTCTCCCAAACCCTCCGGGCTCAATTCAGATACACTGTTTAAGTAATTGTAAGATATCATGATCATTAACGACGTTAATTCTTTTCGTAAGAAGAGAATTTGGAAATATAAAGCAGTTGCCCTGTTTCACTTCGCACAGACATCGGTCTATATGCCAAGTCTTCGTATTCATGCGACTCGACATGGCAGGACCTGTTAGAATCCTATAGATTTGTTTTGCTTTTATGACTTCCTTCCGAACAACCTCATGGCCACACTAGTAAACCTCTGGTTTGATGAATATTATTCACATGGAGGAAGTTTCATATTCCTGTACAAAAAAAAAAAGGAACTAGAAATTTTGCAAACGCGATGATTTTATTCTCTCGGACATTGAATTAAAAACCAATTTCATTATGTTAGACTACACGTATAATTTGGATTATCCTTTTACTTGCTTATGGAGCTCAGCCCTTCTTGAGGAGAAGCCAAATCTGCAGCTACTGAAGAATTTCTCAGCATTTTATGAAACCCGAAGGTTCAAAACCGTGTTCACAAGAGCCCTCCACTGGTCCATATCCTGAGCCATATCAATCCAATCCCATCCCATCTCTCAAAGATCTATTTTAATATTGTCCACCCACCTACGCATTTGTCTTCCCAGTGGTCTCTTTCCTTCTGGCTTTCCCACCAATACCTTACATGCGTTCCTCTTCTCCCCCATTGGATTACCCTATATAATACATAAAATAAGGATAATGGAAGCATTGAACGAAATATTTATAAGAAAATTACTTAAAGATAGTTAAGAGGATGTGTTCTACATAATTATGTCATATAGTCTGCCCACACGAGCCCTACGTAGATGTCAGGTTTTGCTTTGTTCAGTTACGGCTCATCTGCGGATACAGGTTTTCTTCCGGGTTGTTCCAGTGTGCAAGTGTAACTCTGGGAATCGTGGATTTATGAGACTTACTTACATGTATGGCACCGCATGTTTCGAACCAAGGACATTAGAAATGTCCCTTATTTGAAGTGTTATATGGAAACATTTTATCAATAACAGCGGCATTGTATAATAGACCTGTAGAAGAAATGTCTGGGGTGTAGGTCTAAATATATGTATAACTCAGTTTCAAATTGAAAGACACGGGCTCATGAATTGAAGCCGTGGAGCTCAATCTTCCGTGATAGGCCAATAGTTGAGCTCGGGTACACAAACTGCAGCATATTTCAGAACCACACGGTTCATTACCCCCTCCAGTAGTCCCAATCTGGAGCCAGGTGTATCATATCCGTAACTTTTCATCTCATTTACTCAGTATGCATTTTAATATTATCATTCCATATAAACCCAAGTCTTCCTAGTGGTGGTTTTCCTATCGAATTTTTGTATTCACTACTAGCTACTACAGAGCCAGGATAGCGACTGGCTGCGGGCTGGACGACCGAGGGGTCGGAGTTCGGGATCTGGTAGGGTCAGGAATTTTCTCTTCTCTTTAAATCGTCCAGACCGTCCCTGGTGTCCACCCAGCACCCTATCCAATGGGTACTGGGGGAGTTTTCCTTGGGGTTAAAGCGACCGGGGCATGAAGCTGACCACTTACCTCCAGCTAGTGCCGAGGTCAAGAAAAGACCACTTACCTGCAGCTAGTGCCAAGGTCAAGAGAATGTGGATCTATACATCCACTGCCCCATACACCTTCATGGCATAGTGCTTAAATTTGTTGAGCACAAGGACAACTTTATTTTTTACCCTACCTTAACGTTGTCTTTCCCTGGGGTGAAACGGCCGGGGCTTGAAGCTGACCACCCAACCTCTAGCTAGTGCCGAGATTAAGAAAATGTGGATCTATACATCCACTCCCCCATACACCTTCATGGTGTAGAGCTTCACTCCCCCATACACCTTCATGGCGTAGAGCTTGAATTTGCTGAGCACAGGGGCAACTTTTACCTTACATTGACATCATGAATACAGTTTCGATTTGTTAGTGTCTTCCACAGATATTTGAACTTCACCTCATTATTTTCCCATGGCAGGTCAGATCGTGTGGATTCATGGTGGAGAAGTGATTGCGGAGCGTGTTTTCTCAAGAGTACTTCGGATTCCTATGCTAATTCTCATTTCACCAACTGTTCCATGTTCATTAATTATCCTATTATCGCTGTTGTATACTGTCCATACTGACAGTGTCGTTAAATAGCAACTTAAAAATATCAGGATTAATTATCAGATGCGATATTTCTCTCAACATACGTATAGTATAAGCATATACTTAGTTTATTTTTTATTTTCTTACATAACATTCTTGCTAGCGTCTAATAGGGCTCTTGGTCTTTTATAAAGATATTTGTTCCTCTAGTAGATTAACATCATCAGCGTAGACCAGAAACTCTTGTGCCCCATTCGAATTGAATCTTCTATTTTTCCTTGAACTTCATAATGGCTAATTCCAAAGCAAAGTGAAATAAATAGGCATGGATCTTAGTATTCTTTGATGCTGACACTTCTGCACTGAGAAATCAGGGGGGAAAAAAAAACTGGCCCTGTTTCCGTTATATTAAAAACCTTTACCAAATGTAATTGCGAAATTTCATTCATAATGTTTCTGTGAAAACACGTGCCCTACCGAAATTGATAGAAATGAAAGGTAATGTTAGGTAACGCCCGCAACATAACCTGCACTGTGTTATGAAATCCCTTTCCAAGCCCCGAATCGGTAGACATGCCCACAGTAGAGGTATTGTTGAAAAAGGCGTTTTCCATTGGGTCCGTACCAAGTAGTTAATAAAGAAGAGTAAGTTGAGAATCGGCAGTTGAGTTCCGGAGTTCCAAGTGAGCAACTGCTCAAGAGTTGGGTCTCTGCAAGTGAGGGTGAGATGAGAGCGCCTTGAGTTCAGGTGTGTAGTGTTAACCAGCGGGCCACAGAAATGCAAAATCTCCTCTGTGTTAAATCTGTTGCTAGGAAACGGCTAGTGGATATTATAATAGACTGAGGACAGTAGTCTTTGTGTGTGTGTCAGTGAAATGCAAATTGTAGTTCCGAGTGGTGTATAGAAGTGGTCAATAAATCCAATTCAGCCAATCGTTACCCCGTGTATAGTCACACTCCTAAATTGTGACGATATGTTGGAAACATGTATTCTGAAGTTTCTTATCAGGTAGTGTACAAATTGGTCACTTGAGCTAAGTATTCTCTGTGAGCTGCCATTAATGACATTACTACCTCTTATTCTAGATCCATATTTCCTTGGCCTCATCACCAGCTGAAGATGAGTGCTAAGCTTCATGCCTGTGTCACTTTACCACCAGGGAAAGACCCATGGGGTACCCATGGAATAGGAGGCTGGGTGGGCCCTCAGAGTCAATGTGGATGACATGGAGAGGAGAAAATTCTTGACCTTATCAGGACTCAAACTCCCAACCACTCGGTCATCCAGCCTATAGCCAGTCACTATACTGACTTCACTGTTGAGCCATATATCCACTCCATACGTCTTCATGGCGTAGTGTTTATTTAAGCACAGGGAACAGCTTTACTTTCTTACTATCTCTTATGCCACAGCAAACATCCATGTTGATGAGCTGTCACTGCTCCCAGTCAGGATAAGACTATGATGAAACAGAAATTAAGAGACTTCAGATTATGTAGTGTAAATTGGGATATACTGAAGACATCCTTTTCTATGAGCTCTCAATAATGTCGGTACCGATACTTATTGCAATGGAAAACTGTGTTGATGAGTTTTGATTGCTTGTGGTCAGATTAGTCCTATGATGGAAATATGATTTCACAGATGTCATGTCAGGTAGTGTACAATGTAAGTTGAACAAGTCCTTTATAAGTTAGGATTAATGTTGGTGTGACCTCTTATTCTTTCAAGCAAGAACAGTGTTGATGAGCAAACATTGCAACAAATCTGGTTAAAACCATATTAGAAACATGATTTCAGAGATGCCACGTCAGGTACTGTACATTATTGTCAACTGAAGCAATCCATCTTAATGAGCTGTCATTAGTGATGATAACATGTCTTATTTTACAGGGAACAACTATGTTGAGTCTTAACTGTTGCTTTTCAGGTTAATGCAATGATGGAAACACAAGTCACAGATTTCACATCACGTACTGTACAGTGTGGTGAGCTGAATGAGTCATCTTTATGAATTGTCATTAATGTTATCACTCATTAGCTGCAGGTAACAATGGTGTTTATGAGACTTAATTGATGCCACTCAGTTTAATAGTATTTTGGAAACCTGAAGTCAGAGTTTTATATCAGGTAGTGTAAATTGAGGTCAGTTAGAGGCATCCGTCCTTATGAGCTGTCATAAAGCTGATATCACTTCTTATTTTACAGGGAACAACTGTGTTAATGAGCCTTCATTGCTGCTACACAGGATAAAATATATATGTAAAAAACATTCGGAAATTTTTGATTCAGGTAGTGTACAGTGTGGTCAGTTGAAAAAGTCACTATAAGCTTTCAGGAATGTAGGTACAACTTATTTGCATGAAAAGATTAGTTCATAACTGAATTGCAGCTAATCAGTATATTCCTATGTTGAAACCAAGAAATTAGAGATTTCATATCAGGGAGTGTACAGTGCTCAATTGCATATGTCCTTTATAAAGCGTTATTAATGTTGGTATGATCTTTTTCTTTTAGGGGCAAAACCAGTGTTGATGAACCCTACAATTCTCCCACTCAGGGTAATACAATCCTCAAAAAATAAATCCAGTGATTTCACGTCAGGTAATGTACAGTGTTGTATGTAGAACAAGACATTGTAAGCTGTCATGATTGATGTGTCCTTTTATTCTTACAGGGAACATCAGTGTTAGTGAGACTTCACTTCTCCCAGCCAGGTTAACACATTGTTGGAAGCATGAATTTGGAGATTTTGCATCAGGTAATGCACATGGGAGTACAGTGATGTATGTAGCTTATGTAGAAGTAATTGTAAGTTGTCATTATGATTTGTGTGACCTCTTATTCTTAACAGGCAACATCAGCGTGGATGAACCTTCATTCCTTTCAGTTATGTAAATACAATATTTGGAACATGAATTCGTAGATATCACATCAGGTTTTATACAATGTGGTAAATGAAACAAGTAAAAAATGTAGCAATTCTGAGAACATGACCTTGCTTTTAATCCGTCATTGTTTTTATGACCTCTTATTCTAATGGGCAAGAGCTGTGTTTATGAGCCTTCATTTCTCCCAGTCTGGTTAATACATTGTTGGAAACAAGGATTCGGAGATTTCACATCAGATATTGTACAGTGTATTAAGTAGAAGACGTACTTGTTTATAAGCAGTGCATGTTCTAGAAGGCTGTTACAAACCATTGGATACGGTGTGGGCGTGGAAACCTTTCCATGTTACAAGAATGTCTCGGGATATATCTGTAAGTTCAGGAATGATGAGAATCTGATGTTATGACAGAGACTTTGAAAATTGCAATAGATCATTTTCAGCTGCCAGTGACATTTAAATTGTCAAGGAATGAGCCTGGAAAATGTGTCTTTCTGTTGCTCACACTCCAAAATATTATTGGAATTGTATTCCAGATATCAAGAACGCTTCTTCACAAGTATCTGAACACTCACCAGAATTGTCTAATGAGAAGGAAGCAATTTTCTGATATATGTGTTTACAAAATTATGCCCACACATACCAGTTCTCTAAGGGCCACTCAACAAAACTTGGTTTCAAAAGTAAAGATTGGGAGAAATAAATGCGAAGCACCAAGGAGATAAACACAAGGCTCATTGGGATCTATAATTTAAATTGCTCAAATGATGATCATATTGCACATAGCTCTGCCTCAGTGTTAAGCTCGTTGCTTTTATATCCTGATATGCCATATAGGAGCAGTCCTGTTGTATGGGTTTGTAGGTTTACACATGAATCGGAGAAAGGGGCAGAAATGTGGTGAGTAAAGTTTTATATTGTGCAGAAAGTAGATTTTGGTCCAAATATTCAACAAGACATTATTTTGAGTTATGAGAATTTTGAATTTTAAATACCTGCATTGTATACAATAAAGCAGTGAAAGAGTGGGGTTGAGCTCTCGTCGAAGGCCACCCCATCCAACCTTCCAGATGTGTTAGCACCAGTTGCTGGGCATCTCCTGTTAGCTCATGAGCTACTGAGCATGGACACGGTAACAAGAGGCACAGTAGTAACATCCAGAATGTAAATGCCTGAACATCGAAAAGGGAACTGATGGCGAAGGAGGAAAGGAATGTGATTTCATTCAGAGACAATGAGAAATTTGCTGTAGCATGGCAGGACCAACATTTTGGTGCAGTTCTCAGTACTTTTCACACAAAAAGCAGGAATGAAGTGGGGTACGTGCCCTCTAAATATCCAAAGAAACCAGCAATAGTGAAGCCAAAGATCTCTGAGTATGCTAAACATGCTGGAAGGGTCTACATCAGTGACTACTATACTCGTATCTGTTTAAGAGGACAGTAAAGAGGTGATGCAGGAAAGGGTGTGACTTCCGGAAGCGAGTTCAAGCTTCGCGTATGTGTTGTTCCAGGAACGTTTCAGTAAGAGTCTTTTAAGTTAGGTTTAGGAAGAGTGATGTAAAATCCCCATTGCTTGAAAGGAAGACTGCTGTTGGAGGAATGGCAAAGGTTAACTGAGGCAGGCTATCAACTGGCCGATGTTTTTGGAGGTCTAATGAAGAGCCTCATTAGTGACAGAAGGAAAATTGGGTGTGTGACCTGGGTCATGTGTAAAACAGATTGAGGATAGGCACTGTGCTTCTGCAAGACGTGCAGTAAAAAATGTAACAAGACATAGGCTTTGAAGTACATTACACAAGACAAAATACTGTAAGGAGTTCTTCCCAGAAAACAGAGACCACATATTCCTCCTTACCGTTTGACAAGAGTACAGTCTTAGAATCCTGGTGACCTCAGTCTTGGCTTGTAAAGAGCTTTTTTCGAAGTATTAGAGTTAATGGCATGTAATACGCTGTGTGTAAATGTATACAAGAGTTGGTGGAACTACAAATTCAAATTCACATAATTGAAATATGTCTTGAACAACACAGTGATGGGAATGGACTTTATGAGATGTGCCCAGAACTCTTGGCATTGTATCATAAGCCTTGTTGAACAGTGTTGTGTAATGCATAGGAGTGATGGTTCTAAGCAATTGTACTATTGTAAGCCTTTGTTTAATTTTTGCTTCTTCTGTTCACAGTGCTAGTGGATGAATCCTTTTAATGGTGTTCAGTGAACATTGTGTTTTAAGCCTTTAAATGTTGTTTCTTAAACTGTTCACAGTGCTAATCTGTGTTCCTTATTTTGGGTCTGCAGTGAACATTTTATTGTAAATGTTTGTTGAAACATTACTTTATACGCATATATGTTCACAGTGCCAATGCATGTATCATTTTTAGGGGCTACAAAGAACCTTATATTGTGTTTAAATGATGCTCCTGGTTACCTTCAACTCTCATACTGAGGCAGTATTCAGTGGTGTTATAACCATGGTCTTAGAATCGATGCCTGTGCTAATTTTACAGATTGCTTCTCTCAGACAGGGTTGAAGAAAAATTTGAGGCCTATAACTGGACAGTCAATATTCATGGAAGCCCCATATAAATTTTTTAATGAATAACATGAATTCGGTTTGTTTTATAATGAGAAGATTATCTCCAGTTCTTAATATCCAAACCTTGATGACTGTTTATTTTGCACATATTCAACTTTTGTTTAATTATGGAATAGTATTTTTGGGTAACACTAGTTCACTAGTTCTATGCTTAAGGTATTCCTAATTAAAAACTAAAGGTATTAAGAATGTTGAGATTAAGTTGACAGAGTTCCTGCAGAAAGTGGTTAGAGATTGGAGATCTTACCTATTTCAAGTTTGTATATATGTATTCATTAATTTCTTTTTTCTTTTTTTCCTTCCCCCCCCCCTAAAAGTAACTTTCCTATTCATGACATTAATACAAGATGTAAGAATCAATTACATACGTTTAGGTAGACTTTCTGCTATCCAGAGAGGTATTATATTTTCTGCTAATAAAGTATTCAGTAATTACCACCTAGTATATCTAGATTAAAAAATGTCGAGCAATTTTTTTAAGTCTGCTTTAAGGAATTATCATCTAGCACATGTCTTTTATTCTACAGAAAAGTTTATATCAAATTAATATTTTTATAAAAGGATGTTTAGCTTTTGAAGCCTTTTCTGTTGTCTGCTTAAGCACTGATACTCATATTTTGTTATACTAGATTCTGTACTTACTTTGTCATTTATATATAGTGTATATATTATTGTTTAATGTCTCTCTTGCTCAGGTTGCATTGTACAATGTACATCTCCCGTCATGTTTCATATTCATAAGTGTATGGGCTAATGTTGGATTAATGAAATGTATATGTATATATGTAAAATGCCAGTCCTTTCAGGCATGTAGCCAGAGGGATGAGTTTCGGCTCCTGTTCTGGAACCTGGACGTTGTACGATCTGAGGGAGGTGGCCAACTGAAGAAGGAAAACATGGTCACACAGACACCGGAAAGAATGGTCACCCTCAGTTTGTGACACCCAGTATAGCTGCAACTGCTGATGAAGGCAGAACGTCATTCAGGGCAAGGAAATTTTTTCAGACTTACAGCTCTATGAAATAAGTGAAATTTGTATTGAAAATCCCTGTGTTGTCTGACAGCAGTAACGGTTAGGTACATAAGTCTAGGGCATACAGTGATAAAGTAGGAAATTGAGTGTATTTTCTTCAAAGCCACATGAGTAGTGAGTGAGTTGTATTCTACTCTCATCAGATATGGTGGGAACTCACTTTCTGCATGTCAAGTCTAAATGGGCATGTGTCGTACGTCACCATTTGGCCCAAGAGCTCTCGAGTATGGTCATGGTAACAGCATGCATAATAATGACATCCAGGGCTTCAAATGACTGAAGATATTAAAAAGCAGCAAAGTGGGGGAAATGTGGCAAGGAAATTTCTTCATTCAGAAACAAGGAGAAATTTTGTGTTGCATGGAGGAGCAGATGTTTGGTTATGGTGTTCAGCACTGTTCACATAGGAAGCACCAATAAGGTGACAGAAGTGAAGCCTTGAGTAAGGAAATAAAGTTGCCACAATGAAAGCAAATGTGTAAGGTACACTAAAAGTATGGGAGGAGTAAACCACAATGGCTAGTACATGCCCTCCTGTCAGTTTATGAGGAGAGCGCAGAGGCACAAGGAGTATTCATCCAGCTTGTGGCAGCGAGTAGTGAAAGTGAATTCGTTCTTGCCGCATGTTTTGATGCTGGAAGGATACAGAGACAGACTGCAACTGAGAAGTTAGGCGAAGTGTTGTTGAATCCAAAGTGCATTAAAGAAGGGTCATCAGTGGAAGTTGAGCAAGGCAGACTGCCCAGTGGTCCACGTAAAGAAAGGTTAAATGGTGAGCATCAGTTCAGTGGCCAGTGTGATGTGTAAAGGGAAGAAACTATGTTGTAAGAAACATATTTTGCTGAGAGATGAAAGATTTTAATGGGATAGTAATGTTTTTTCATTTGCATTCAGAAGTCTAATGTGTGTGTCAGTATTCTGATCCACAGTGAAGATAAAATTGGTGGCCTTTATTGAACTGTTACTTTGTGTGTTCACAGGGCTGGTGTGTGTCATTCCTTTGGGTCTGGACGGAACATGATGCTGATGGATTATCAGGTGGTAAATTTATAGCAGAATATTCATTGAAACGTTAAAAAATGTTAAGGTTTCAAACCCAGCTCCTGACCTACATGAGTAACTGTGCAAATGAGTATTATGCTGTGTGGAGATTGATAATATCTTAAATATAATAGTGAAACTGTATAATATTAACATATATTAGCTTTTACCAAGCAATTTTACTGTTGTAGACTGGCAAGATGATGGTGCAGCAGTGTCTTGTTTGAAAATGAGCTCTCTCTCCACATCCATGAGGGGCTGAAGTGACTGGTGGTCTTCCATGTTCATTGGACATATGCACAGGAAGATCTTGCAGAGTTAATAGAAACTTAAGGGGGAAGATGACTTTTCAGCAGGCTTATAAAGAGGTGATCCAAGGCCTGAGAGGGAACAATGTGCAGGGAACTGAAATACAGTGAAACCCTCATCAGTGCTCTTTGACCTAAGATTAACCTTAGGTAACATTCGGTTTTGATGACGTGTCAGTAACCTCGTTGTTAAATTACATGCATGCAAGAATCCACTTCATGGAAAAGAGACCTTGAATGGGAGATTCACTGTATGCAGACCTGCATCTGTATGCCATTGTATCCATCACCACTCACAGAAACATGCCTCTCCATATGTCAGGGGAAGTCTGGATGAGGATTTCCAGCACTGGAAGAAGTGCAGCAGTTGCATAAGGGGTTCATCTGCCAGCGCTACAGACGGTGCGATGGGTAAACTACCTCATTGTTTTCTGCCACAAGATACCGGTCTTGCAACTAGCCTTAGAAATGTATGTCTGATAAATATAGATTAATATCCCTGTAGGTATCATCATTATGATGCTTGAAGTGTGAGTTGGTCTAAATGAATGACCTGTGTTTGAATTATATGTAAGAAATTTAATTTATTTTGTCCAGAAGAAAAATTTGTACAGGAGGTGGGGTGGGGGGAGGCAGGTTTCATTTAGAGGGCAAAGGAAAAAACCGATTTCAGCCTAGTGCAATATGTCAGTATTGAGGGCAGAAGTATATGCCAATAACCCTGTTTGGGCAAAGTTTTCGGACAGCTTCAGACAAAATGCGGCTTAAAGGACGTATATGTACACATGTAACTTAACCTAGGTAACTCATAACAGAAAGTACTTTAACTTAATGTAACCTTCCTAATCTAACTTCTAACAGAAACTAACAAAACTAACCTGAGCTAACATGTCAAGAAACATACATGTACGTCCATAGAACAGAAAGGGTCAAGGTGTGTATAGTTACTGCCATAAGCTTTATGAATTTAGCCTATTGGTTTATATGAGGTTCACTCTGCACTATACCTCACCATCCATAGGAGTAACATAGTGAGCATTTCTTTTGCTAGAGTCAAGGTCAGTATAATGTAATAGAAGTGGTCCCATTTTAGGAGAAGAGATTGTATATAGACCTGACATGTTGAAAAAGATGTCTTGGCACCAATTGTGTGGTTGTGTGGATACTGATAAGGACATCTTATGGTGATTATTACTGTGGTGAAGGAGGGGTTGTGTGCTTTGATGTTGCGATATGTTAAGTGTAATGCCAAAACTTGTACTTGACATTGTATTGCTTATTTTGATGTATGTGCCGCTGGCTGGCTATCATTGTTTGATAGGTCTTGCAAAGTGCTATGTATGTGGATTCTAATTTTGTTATTGCTGTTTGGAAAATATTTCAACATACCTGTAGACAGAAATATGTTTGTCGCCAAATGACATAATGGGACATGGCCAAAATCATTGTCAGTTTGTCAGTTATGAAACGAATGTCCCGCATATCAGATATTGAATTGATTTGTGTTAAGGCCAGGAGAATTCACTGATTGACTGTTGTTATAACTACATGAATTTCTGTTCTACTTGCTGCCTCGGTGGCAGAGCATATGGATTGTGTATGTTACCAGTTTTCGTTAATGTTGATAGTATCATGTAATATTTATTGTAATGGTGTGAATGCAGTTTCTGAAGACATGAGCTATCAGTGTATTTTCCATCAAGATATGTATATTTTTTTTATAATTGTGTATTGCTATGTCTCTGTTCTATTTGAACACAATTGTGAATATGATCACCAGCAGTCCACAGAGTTGTGTGAGTGCTGAGGTATTTGGAAATGTGCAGTAAATCAGATATCTGCATATTGTGGATGGAAGGACATCTCTACCACCATCTTGACTTCATCATGTGATGTGTGGAGGTGATGGAGATGGTGGAAGTCATGGTGGAGGGGATGATGGTGGTGGTGGTGATGATGACCAGTGAATGTTGACGTGTGGAAAGATTTGCACAGTGAGGATGTAGATCACTGGACAGACTATATTGCACTCACATATCTGTATACTGCGACATTTTTACAGCCGTAATTGAGGGATGTCTAGAGGCAATAGTATGAAGATGTAGTTGAATTAATCTGTTTGGTAAAAGAAAAGAAGTGTTACTTTTCAGCATGCCATCCTGTTGAAGGGCTGGTTAGTTTTCAGGAATGTTGCCATGTTGTGTGTGAGGTTCTTGATCTGTGTGAATGTTGAACTCGGGCCTTGAAGGCTTGTGTAGAAGCATTCTGTTTGAATGTATTGATGGCAATGTATTGTATTGAATTGTGACATGTATAAAGTGCTGGATTAATTTGTTTGTGCAGTGTTTGTAAGCAATACAAGAGTCTTCTCTTTGAATGTGATTTTTTGTTTGTGGATGCCTATTCTTAGCAATGGCCAGTACATTCTCTATGGGTCACTTATCCTTCTATATTTATCCTCCAGTATCATACAAGTTGCTTAGCTAAAGTTAAGAGGCATAATATGAATGTGTAGACAGAATTAGTGATTCATGGTTGCAAGTCATTACTATGGGATATTGAAATGAATATCACCGGTAGTAATCAGAAGATGGTGAGGGGAAGTGAATCTGGTGTGTCTTGCTGCGTAAGTGTTTGTAAGGTAGATACTGAACTTTGAAATGACAGAATGGTCAGGGTGATTTGAAAGAGAAATTAAATGTGATTGGTATGTGTAGAAAGGGAAACAAATTGCAAGAGGAAAATGAAGAGCAAGGTAGAATAATGCAACAGGAAGTTCAGAGTTAAAGGGATTAGTAAGAGGGAATGGAGGTCTGAAAGTAATTGAAGAATAGAAGGATATGTGAAAGTCATACAAAGGGAAATCACTGAAGAATAAGGAGAAAGAAGCTGATTGCAAGTAATGGGCAGACTGTCTCTGACAAACATTGAGAGAAGCAGGAAAAAGGCGTATAATGAGGAATTTAATTTTTTAAGAAACAGGAATTAAAAATGTGTTTTAATTTAAAAAGAAGGGCTAAAATCATTGGGCTCTTCATAAAGGATGGATAAGAGGAGGTTATAGGTCATTTTTCCCTTGCAACAGCTCCTTTGGAAGGGGGAAATTTTGGAAATATTTTTTGGGTCAAAAGAAAACTATATGGAAGCTATAATCAGTTGTAATATCTGGAGGGGGAGGGATTCAGAAAATAATCCCCCCTTTTGAGGTGAAGACAGGTTGCATGTGGTACATGCTCCCAAGATACTGTTGGCAGTAAATGATTTATGACAAATGAGAAATCCATGATCTTTAGTGAAGCAGGATTTATCAGGGTTCGCTAAGGGGGAATTTGGGAAGAACTGTTATAGAACGCATGAGATGATAAGAATACAGATCAAAGGGTTTAGGGCAGATAAATTGCTGCAGCATGACAGGGAAGATAGCATTGGGGGAGGGGGGGGTTAAGCATGCGAAGAGAGGTCAGTGATTTATCACATTTGTTATAATTTAACAGAGTAAATATGGCATGTATAGCTTGTTTTGCAGTTTGTATGATCTGTTTGTAGTGTCTAAATGTTGTGAAGGCTGAGTACTTTATGTACAAAGTTGCACAGTACCTGGACATTGTGTACTTGGTGCAGATGCTTAGGATACCTCCATAGCCTGGCAATCCTGGAGTGTTTCGTGTTGTCACATGTAGTTTTCTGGATGTGTAGGTGGTATTTTTTGATGGTGTGTCATAAATGGTAGAAAATTGGCTCCATGGACTGCAATTTCTGTAGGAAGTGTTTTTCATTGCAGTAAGTGCATACAGGATTGCACCAGAAGGGGATTGAAACGGGTGTAGGTCGGGATGCAAAGCAGGCACTGCAGTCGGAATTTATGTGAAGTGCTGAGGCTTGGTCAAATTACAGCGAAATTTTGGAGTGTGAAGTGTTGTGGAAATACTCCTATGTTAATGGTATGGCAGGTGTGAGATACAAACGGACATGCTCAGAAGTGTGGGTGGTGAAAATGCCGAGAAAGGTCAGTATGAGTGTATTACTATATTGTGAATTTGATATTAGCATGTAAGAAGGGACAGATGAATGAAGTAATTCTGTTGAGGAAGAAGTTGAATCATTTGCGTATGAAAATACTTTGGACAGATGGGGAACAAAATTTTAATCACTGCAGACCAAGCTAACAAAATATGAAAAACTGTAGAGCCGTCTGTGGAGTAAAACCTCAACACTCAAGACTAAAACATCGTGGGAAACGACGAAGTGTATTAAAAAATGTAGAATTTTAGTTTCTTATTATGTCCCTTATTGGGTTGTGCAAAACGTTCCTCTGAAGAATTAATTTTATACTCTTAGGTTAGGGCAGGAGGTATTGGGGATGGGATTATGGAAGCGTGGGAACCCCCCATGCCACCTTTAACATAACGCAGCTATTTAATCAGTAAACCTGAACACTCGAGACGAAAACGCCATGGGGAGGCGGGTCGCGCTTGCCGAGACTGATAAAAGATATCATTGTTTGGAGCTAACAAATGAACATCTGACATGACCTTGCGTGTGTTTGTTTTGGTTTCAAACCCAAGATCAAACTGCCAGCACTCCCAGAGAGAGCAAGTGTCCTGCCGCATCTAATATATACATACAGTTGGTCGTCGACTTACGACCGGCCGCACTTGCGACCACAAAAAATGAAAAATAAAAGACGATTAAACTGTAAACGTTTTTAAAAATAAATTATAAAGATGATAAAAAAATTAGAAAGGTTAAAACATACTGTTAATAAATATATGGCCGACTTACAACCAGAACGACTTATGACCTGTCAGGATGGAAGTCGGTCGCAAATCGATGACCAAGTGTATAACATTCGGCCAACACGGGGTGCTGCTTGCAGCTATAAACATTCCTTTAAACGCCGGACTTGGTAAGCTTGAGCTGGCCGGAGTTCATTTAAATGCCCGCTGTTGGTGCGCGTTTAAATGTCCGTTCCTGTTAGGGCGCTTAAACAATTTTAAGCATTGTGTTTTAAAATGCTGTATCTAACTCAATTTTTATGATAAGTGGATGGAATTAACTTTGTTTGTATGAGCAAAGAACATAGTGTAGCATATTACAACAAAAGATCTGAAAAATTTTATACAAAGAGTTTTACTCTACTTTCAATTTTATTTTTAAATGTTGATATGTACTGCAAAAATTATTTCCCGGTTCTTCACAGAGTTTTTCTGCATTATAAATTAATTTCTGTTTGTAACACTTGACACGTTTTAGCAGTCTCTGGTGCCGTAAAACGGATATAAGCAATAAAATCATTTGGTCTTAGGCTAGCACTGCTTACACTCTTCGGATTTTCGAATCATTTGACTAAAGGACAGAAAAATGAAAGCGTGGCTATACAAGAGAAAGCTACAGGGGTCCCTTCTTCAGTGCTAAGACCTTCCGTTATAGCTTCAAGAGGCTATTGTCATCTCTAGGGTCGTGAACGGACAGTTGCATCGTGGCTGAGATACAGAGTGCGAACTGTTTTCTGTGCGTTCATAGTGAAATCGAATACTGTAGTTTCAGTTCAGCCTATATATACATCAAGCAGATAACAACAAAAAGGTAAGTACATCGAATTTTAATATATATTTTTAACACATTAATCTGCAGAACATGCAATAAAAATATTGGCTCGTGGATGAGTTTGAGCATAACTCACACGTATTCTCTTTTTGTTGTTGTTCACTTAGGTATCATTTTAATTCCTCTATTATGTTTTTACTCAAGTCTCACTGGTAATTACTACATATAAAAATAAATATTTAGGATTGTGCATGCGCTTCTAATAGCAGCGGGGGCGCGCGCTTCCACCAGCGGAGTTTAAATGCCCGACTGGCCAAAACAGGGTATTGGCCACGACGGCTATACTCATCAATGGCACCAACGGGGCACTTCGGACGTTGAAGATTAAGGGAAAGTGACTGGCCAACCGTCAGTCGTAAAATGAATTTTGTAACGAAGCAAGTAGTAGAGAGGAATTTTGTAAAAGTAAAAACGAAGCTGTAGGATATGTGGAAGACGAAGGCGAATCCTTGCCATAACCATGGCGGTCCTTTGGTAAGGCACTGGCGTATGGTTTAGAAGATAAGTGGTTCGAAGTCGTGACTATTTTTGTGAGAAACAAATTTAAGAAATTTGTGCATGTAGGAAGCAAGTCGTAATGTATGAGGAAGGTGAAGGTAACAAATTTGCAATTATAAAAGACAAGTCCGTCCAGTGTGACACAGTGGACGGACTTGTCTTTTATAATTGTAACTGTTAGTGTGACGGACCAAAAATGAAAAAATCAAAGTAACAAATTTGTATAGATCTGGTGGTACGTGGGTAAGACATTAGCGTAGCATTGGGAAGGTACGGGGTTCGAGACCGCGGTGTCTTTTGTCAATAGAAATTGGAAAGTGAATAAATAAACGTGATTTTTCTGCAGCTATAAACCAAGTCGCATAATATAAGGACGATCAGAGACACTTGTGGCAAGCATGTTCTGGTGGTCAAGAGGTAAGGCACAGGC